CAGAAGGCTGGTGGTTCAAACCCACCAGCCACTCCTTGGAAGGAAGGTTGGGCAATCTACTTCCATAATGATACTGCCTCGGAAACCCAAGGAGGGGTCGCTATGAGTCGAGTTTGACTCAACGACAGTTTGGTGGTTTTGGTTTTAGCTATTTGTTAAAAGAGCACAATGCTCCCAACAGTCCCACTTCTAGGCATGTACCTAACCAAAATGTGGACATACATTCACCTAAAACTTACACAAGAATATGCAAAGCGGCATTATTTATAATAGCAAACCCCAGAAAAACCCACAAGTTCATTTCTAATAAAATGGAAATAAACGCCATAGTGTTTGATTGTGCGGTATATTCACATAATGAAATACTGTGCAACAATGAGAATAAAAGAATTACAACTATATGAATCTCACAGTATTAATTGAATGAAGCCAGACATAAAAGAATACATATTATTTCATCCTAGAACTAATCTTTAATACTAGAAGTCAGAGTAAATGTTACCTTTGCATAGGGGGCATGATTACCCACTGCCATGAGTCGGATCCGACTCATAGCGACCCCTCCTTGGGTTTTCAAGGCAGTATCACTACGGAAGTAGATTGCCCAACCTTCCTTCTGAGGAGCAGCTGGTGGGTTTGAACTGCCAGCCTTCTGGTTAGCAGTCAAATGCCTTAGACACAATACCACCAGAGCTCTGGGGGTTGGGGGGATGTGGTTAGTGATTAAAAAAAGATATGAGGGGAATAGTAATGTTCTGTTTCTTGAGCTAGATACTGGTTACATATTATTTCACTTTGTGAAAACTCATTTGTATGCTTGTAAGCATATATATGCATTCATATACAAACTCAAAACAAACCAAACCCACTACCATCAAGTCAATTCCAACTCATAGCAACCCCCATTGAGTTTCCGAGGCTGTAAATCTTTACAGAAGTACATTGCCTCATCTTCCTCCCACAGTGCAGCTGGTGGGTTTGAACAACCGACCTTCTGGTTAGCAGCCAAATGCCTTAGCCACTATGCCACTAGAGCTCCTTGTAGTCACATATATATGCATATGGGTATTCTATGTGTGTGTGTTATTCAATAAAAAGTTTTCAAAATAAGAGAAAGGAGCAAATAATGCTCAAGGCAGAACTTTTTCTGCTGGTTAAGCTAAACTGTTGTTTGTTTTTAAGACTTCAGGGGTCATTTGAGGTCTTTTAGTGGTAATATTTGGTGATTATAATTCTCAAGGAATGAGCAGGTTTTGCACAAAGAAAACCAGGGTCAACTTTCAAGACGCCTGAGGCTCCAGGGCAAACCAGCTCTTTGAGCCAAAGCAGACGAAGTCGCCCAGGATAGAACGCTCCAGGGATGTCAGGTTCTTCTCCAGGGGGCCTCGCTCACTGCACCCTTCTGGGCGCTGCTGTTTAGGTGGGTTCCTGGGGAGGCTGGGGATAGATGGGAGGGCCTCTGAGGGGCCCTGACTGCTGGGTAGCCTAGAGCAGCAAGGGGACCGCCTCATTCTGTAACTGATCAGATATTAAGGCCCCCTCTCCACCCCCATCTTCACTCTTCTTCCTTAGCCAGTCAGCACTGGCTCTAGTCTCTGGCTGGAAAGCTCCCCTGGTACTCTGCAACCAAAGCCAGTGTTCTCTACATCAACCCAGTTGGGGCTAGAGGAATAGGTAGGGACCTCCCCTCCCCAGCTGACTTGGAGTGGACTGTCTGGAACCCCAGGAGCTTTCCTGGACTCCTGATCAAGGATCTGGGGGTGGGGAGTCTCTGAGGGGGGGCCATTAGCCTGGTTGTGGGATGGAGGCCTGATGTTGTTCGTCGCCCTGACTCAGAGCCCCACTTTGCACTAGGCAGACTTGTCATCTTTCAGAGGCAGTCAGGCTAGCCCTGATTTAGGCACTACAGCAGCTGCCCAACGCTTGCAGGGCTTTGGAGTAATGGTGTGCATGTAGCATCAAGAGGAGCCTTTAAGACCACCCTGTCCCACTGAGTATGTGGAGGGGGCATCATAACATCACTGGCTGAAGGTCGTGGTAAGGGGCTATTCATGACCAAGCCGGGCTGGATCTCCCATCTCCCTACTCCCAGCACAGACCTTCTATGCTACTGCTCACCAGAGTCACCGTTCCTTTGCCCTTTCTTCTCCTTTGTAACTGCATCCCCTGTACCAGAGTCTTCACTGGAGGTGCTCAGAAACATCCCCCTCCCCTGCACCTGCCCTTTTCTGCTAGTGTCCATCCATTGTTCTGGAAACAGTGAATCTGGGCCTGTGTCTTCCAGGGGGGACCTGCAGGGGAAAGAGCAGTGTCAGTACATCATGCTGACAAGAGACTTGGACCAGGAAGCTGGAAGGTCTCTCAGACTTAAGCCCGAGGTCTGTTCTCTCTTGCCCCACACTCCCACACCCACCCATCTGGCATTCACTCACTTTACAGCAGTTTGCCTTCCCGAATGGGAATCTGTATCATAAAGATCTGCTGTGTTTTGGTGGTATTGCCAGCCAGTCCTCTATGAAGGCCTCTCCACTTACCTCCCTGGAAAGCCCCACCTGAATGATTGCATCTCTTAAACAGCTGTTTCCTCTTGGCCGTTATCCCCAGCTTTGTGGGCCACTTCAGGAGTCTCTATGTGGGTTTCCTGTTTCCCTCATCAGACTGGAGGGAGGACTGTGTCTCTCCCATCATACCTGGGACTCCCTGAGGGAAGGGGCTATGTCTCCTCCCACTCAGGGCTGATTTGTGGCTTTAATGCTGCCAGGAGTCCATGTCTGATGTTGACTGGTGGGTTTTTTTGGGGGGGTGGTGGTGGTTATTTGAATCATTTTTGAATGTGGAGAATGGTCTTGGTCACCTTTTTCCAGAGACTTGGCAACATGCCTGTGTGGCCCAGCCTGCCTTGGGGAAGGGTGGCTCCCGCAGAGTTGTCTGCTAGCTTCCCATCTCGACCTGGCAGGCTTCTGCCAACCTGAGAGCCCATTAGCTTCTGGGGCTTCCTTTCTTTCCTAAGCCAAAGGAACTGAGATGGAGTCGCAGCAAGGAGGGGCAGAGGTTACACATCATAAAGTGCTTTCTGGCAGGGAGGGTGGTTAGACATAGGCAGGGATACCTGAGGGAGGAGCTGGAGGCTTCTCCAGGCAACCTCAGAAGCAGGAGATGTTTTCTCATTGCTCAGGGGAATTTCAGGAAAACCCAACTGGCTTCATGTAAATAGCAGTGAACTTCTCATCAGGCTAATGTGTTGTGTGGTGCTCCTAAGCATGCACTTTCTAGTAGGAAAAAGTCCCTGTCTCTGTTTTCCAGTTTATATCCCAAGCCCTTGAGGACAGCCTTTGTACTGGCTTAGGGCAGAACATCCCCAGACAGGCCCTGAGGAAGAGACAGTAATGGACAGAGAACCAAGATGCCTGAGTCCCAATCTCTCTGTGCTCAAAGTCAGCTATGTCACCAGGACACTTCTCACTGGGTCACTAGTCCATCTTTCTAGTCTCTTCCAGTTCTAACAGGTTATGATAAATGACAGCTTCTTTGAGCCTCAATTGCTTCATCTGGAAAATGGGGTTAATAATTTGTCCCAGCATATGTTATAGAGTTGTCATAAGCAAAAGCGAACTGGTTTGTAAAACATCGTGTTATCTGTCATTGTGGAGTGGAGGGAGGTGCCTTGCTCCAGCCCTACTCCGCCTCTCTTTGGCACCTCTCCTGTGCCAACAGAGGCTTGGCAAAAACCCAAGCTCTGCATGTGATAAGTACCTGTCTCTTCAGGGAAATGCATGTGGTTAAGGTTGGGCAGAAATTACACCAAGCCCCTACACCCTTACCCCATCAGGGCACCTTCCTGCATTAGCTGGAGATGGCTCTGAAGTAGGCACCCTTGCAAAAGAGCTGGCTTCTCCAGCATGGTGCAGATGCAGTAGGTGGGCCAGGGGTAGAAAGGGCTGGATGGAGGCAGGGTCCCTGACCCTCTGCCCACCCCACCCCCAGCTTCCAGTGCCCGTGGCTGTGCTGCTTCTGCTGTCCAAAGAGCGGCTGCTGACCTGCTGCCCCCAGAGGAGCCCCCTGCTCCTGTCTGCAGATGAGCTTGCCCTGGAGACACGGCCTCCGCAGAGGGAAGACTCTTCCTCGCTGACCCCCAAACTTCAGCCAGACTCAGGTGGGGCTGTAATGAACTCTCGTCCTCACAGCCCTGAGTGGACAGTGCATGCATACCTACCAGCTCCCAGTGCAGTGTTCCAATTCTGAGAGACGTGCTGGGACTTGTGGGGTGCTGTTACGAAGGAGGGGAACATGAGAACTGATATCCCAGTTTCATCTGAACACAAAGGACCTTGGAGGACATCTCCTCCAAGGTTCTTTAGTGGTGACATTTGATGATTATCATTCTCAAGGAATGAGCAGCCCTTCTCTGGGACTTTCCTGGCCAATCCCCTCTCCCAGCATGAATGAGCTAGGTTATAGGTGATAATGGTGGAACAAAGCCTTGGCCCTGACTTTGGGATAGTCTGCTGAGGCAGTAGATAAAGCAACTTGGCCAAGAGAAGAAGGAAGCAAGACTGCTGGCTCTGACTTCTATTCTACCCAATCCAACCTGTGTGACCTTGGGCAAGTTACTTAACCTCTCTGAGCCATGATTCTATCAGGACTATGGGATGGACAAAGGCTGACACAGCTAGAGAAGGTGGGAGGCAGTACATGGTTCCCATTCTCCCAGGGCTCTTCTGCTTGCAGATACTTCTCTCGGGCAAACAGAGGGAGGAGAAGCTGAAACCCACCCCTATATCTTCTCCAGGACACGGGGACCTGTTTGGCTGCTGCCAGAGGAAGAACTTCAAAGGGGCCCCTTATTCCTTCTTCGCCATCCATATCACAGCTGCCCTGGTCCTGTTCATGACAGATGGCATGACGGTGAGCCTGCCTTCTGATGGTGCCCATTCTTGGGGACCCAGCTCTCCTGGGACTCAAGTCTAGGAGTGGCAAGAGAAAGAGAGGGACATCTAGGTGTTCTAGAGACCTCCTAGCAAACCTGCTCCTGTCTGCAGATGGCCTGTACTTTGGTTGATTTAAAACTTTAAGCTAACTAAAGTGCCTAGAGGAGCCTGTCTCCCTTGGTACTATGGGCTTCCTAGCCAGCCAATTGTTTTTCTTTTTGTTTGATTTTCATGAACTCCGTGGGTATGAGCCCATCTTTTTTTGTTAGCAAGTGCAGTCTATCCACTTTTTTAAAGAGGCAGAGCCTTGTTCCCCAGATTAGAGGTCATGTCACATAAACTCAAGGACACTTTGCTTTCTGGAATACATTACAAGCCCAGGCTTCTCAAGCTAATGTCAGAACAAGCCCCAGGCAAATTTGAGCCCAAGCTATCCACTTGATGGCACCTAACAACAATAATTCATCCCTCTAGTGACCTCTGTAATACTCTACTATACCTTTTCTCAGAAATATCTTTAGGGTTAGATACACATGGTTTTGAATAGCTGATTGATGAATGGATTGCACATAAGGGACTTTCCAGAGAGGAGACCCTAAGACCTAAGTGGCCCAATGGAAAGTACTCTTGACAGTGCTGGTTGACTTTCAGCTCTCAGTGTGACCTTGGGCGAGTCACTTCTCTCTGCTCTCTCATCTGTAAAATGAGATGCTTGTGCACACTTTTTTTTTTTGAAGCTGTGGCACCCTCCTTCAACAAAAAAATCTGAGGAATCTGCATAAATAAAGACAGATGCATAGTAGAGGTCTTTTGTGGTTGAAGGGGGAAGGAGGCCTGCTCAATCCCAGGAACTTCCTGTGGAGATCAAGACACTTCCCTGGAGCTCCTAGGCCTCACCAGGGGCAGTCTGTCAGCTGTGGTCCCCAGCTCTGTTCTCAGCACAGGCCTGTATGGTCTTTGCTCTGAGCCCACCCTTCACTGAGCATCTGGGAGCAGGAGCAGCCCTTCGTCAGCCTTCACCACACTTGCCCCAGCCAGGGCTTTCTCTGTGAGGGTTAGGGTCTGGCTAGGTTCCACGTGTGCTCATTGGGGCCTGGTCTCTCCACAGGGGGCGTATTCTGCCTTTGTGTACAGCTATGCAGTAGAGAAACCACTGTCTGTGGGACACAAGATGGCTGGTTACCTCCCCAGCCTTTTCTGGGGCTTCATCACCCTGGGCCGGCTCTTCTCCATTCCCATCTCCTCACGAGTGAAGCCAGCCACCATGGTTTTCATCAATGTGGTAAGTGGCTCCTTGTTCATGCCTTGTGCTGCCACCACCCCAGGACCTTTGTTTGGGACTGGATAGAGTGGAGAGAAGAAAGATGCTGGTGAAAAAGGGATGGAAATGCCGGCTATGGAGCACACCATCCCTTTTCTCGGCCTTTGATTTCATACCATAATAGGAAGGGGCTGCATATAGTGATGGCTATGTGCAGAGCAGATCCCAGCTCACCTCTAGCTAGGAGCATGAGGGGAGCCGGTGCTGGCCCTGCTCCACCCATGTTAACATTGATGCCCAGCTGGTCAGAGCCCTCCAGACTTATAGAGGCTGTGGAGGTCAAAGATCCTTCGGAATCACCATCTCTGGGCTAGGGCCTAGGAATTTACATTTTGAAGCTCTTCAAGGTGATATTTTCTTTTAATTGTTTTATTTTTTGGAATACTGTGCAACCCTAAAGAATAACATAGAAACTCCAAAACACCACATAACATGGATGAATTTGGAGGAAGTTATGCTGAGTGAAATAAGTCAATCACCAAAGGACAAATATTTTATTAGTCCATTATTGTAAAAAGTCAAGGAAAAGTTTATATATGGAAGGAAATTTTCTTTGTTGGTTACCAGGGGTGGGAGGGGAGGGAAGAGAACACTGTTAGATAGGTAGAGACAAGTATTGATTTGGGTGAAGAGAAGGGCAATGTACCAAATGTGAGTGATCAACATGGTGGCATTGAGAAAGAGGAAGACATAGAGAGGTGCATGGGAGGTACAGACAACAAAGATGAACCCTTTTGCACATACAGTACTGTGTTGTCAGTGAAGGTAAACGTGGCTATATGGGTGGATCGATGAGTAGACAGGCTGTGCAGGGGGAAGTGTGCCCAAGACCATGTATAGGGTTGGCAGACAATGTTTCTACAAGTGTATTTGTATGTTCTGTAAGAATTCCTAGGTATATAGTAGAGCTGACAAGGGACAAAGCTGTCACTTCTTTATCACAGCCAGCTATCCAGAGGGAGCAAGTAGTTGGACTTGTGGGCTTGGGACCATAGTCACAGGGGACATCAAGCTCAATTGGCATAACATACTACACAAAAACATTGTTCCACATTGTATTTTGGCGACTAGTGACTGAGATCTTAAAAGTTTGCAAGCATCCATCTAGATGCAACGATGTGTCTCTCTTCGTCCAGAGAAAAGAAGAATGAAGAAAACCAAAGATGCATGGAAACAATTAGTCCAAGGGACTGGTGCACCATGCGATTCTCAGCCTACATGACTATGAGACCAGAAGAACTGATGATGCCCAGCTACCACTGTCAACCACTCAGAGTGGGATCTATGTAGGAGATCCTGGATAGAGAGGGAGAACAATGTGAAACAAAACACAAAATCATTAAAATAAAATAAAAGGACCAGGTTTGCTGGTCTGATAGAGCCTGATGGAACCACTGAGACTACGGCCCCTAGCTGACCTTCAGATCTGGAATTGAACCCACTCCTGTGGCTTCCAGCCAAACAAAAGACAAGCATATAAGCTGAACATTTACATTAGGTAGATGCACTCCTTGGAGAGAACAATCATGGGAGAATAGAAGGGATGTGTATGCACAGGGAGACAGCTCAGGGGGTAGGAGTGCATGGAGGAAAGGACACAGGGAAGAGATAACTATGGGGAGGAAGTGGGAGAGGAGCTGGTGCATTGCAGGAAATTGTAGTCAATTACATGAGACAAAGTGTATGTGAAGTGCTGTATGGAAAGTGAATTTGCTTTGTAAACTTTCACCCAAATCACAATAAAAAAAAAAAAGTTGTTTTATTTTTGCTGAAAATACACAGAGCAAAGCATTCACCCAGTCAACAATTTCTACATGTGTAGTTCAGAGACATTGGTTTCATTCTTCACTTTGTGTCAATAATCTCACAATTTCTACTCAATTGTTTCACTACCATTAACTTAGACTCACTGCCCCCTAATTTTCTCATATATGTTTTAGAATTACCATTGTAAATGTAAGGAGTCCTGGTGGCACAGTGATTAAGTACTTGGCTGCTAACTAAGAGGTTGGCAGTTCAAATCCACCAGTCACTCCTTGGGAGAAAAGGCAATCTGTTTCTGTAAGGATTCACAGCCTGAGAAACCCTAAGGAGCAGTTTCACTATGTCTTATAGGGTTGATATCAATCAGAAGCAGCTCAATGACAATGCATTTGGTTTAGTTTTATACCATGCTTAGGAGCCCTAGTGGTGCAGTGGCTAAAGTGCTCAGCTGCTAACCCAAAGATCAGTACTCAAACCTACCAGCCATTCCTACGTGGCAGTCTGCTTCCATGAAGATTTACAGCCTTGGAAACACTGTGGGGCAGGCAGTTCTACTCTGTCTTATAGTGTTGCTATGAGTTGGAATTGACTCAACAGCAATGGGTTTATTGTCAATTTGGTCTAATATAAATAATCTTTTAAAAGAGCACAATACTCAAGGCATATGTTCTTTACTATGTGACCTAATCTGATGTTTACTTTAAAGATGATTTCAGGGAATAATTTTAGTTAAAGATTTAAGCAGTTATCTCAGGACAATAGATTCATGTTTTCCTCCAGTCTTAATGGGGCAATAAGTCCAGAATCTTTAAGAATTTGAAATTTTGTTCCACAGTTTTCTTCCTTTGATCAAGATCCATCAATCATATCCTTGATCAAAATGTTTGGTAACAGTAGCTGGGCACCACCCAGTTCTTCTGGTCTCTTGACAGAGGAGGCAGTAGTTAATGGAGACAATTAATCCTGAAGTCTTCTCTTATTCCTGGGTCCCCTTCTCCCTCTGTTCCTTCCAGTGAATAGAGAGTACTTGTTGTTTCTTGGATGGCAGCTTACAAGCTTTTAAGACCCCAGACACTGTTCACTGAACTAGCCTCCTATGTGATTCTTAATAGCCACATTGGCATTTAAGAATTGTTGCTTTCAAGGAGCTGGCTTGACTGAGAGGCAGGAGATACAGGCTCAAGTGATGGGTGAAGATCATTGTCCTTATGTGCATCCACATCTCCAGATCTGACAGAGGGTCCAGATTACAGATCCTGTAGGGAGGGACCTTGGAGGTCATCTAATCCAACCTCCCATGTGGACTTGAGTCACCTCTATAGTATCCCTAACATCCCTTCCAAGGGGTCCACAGTCTGTTTAAACACCTCCAGTGACAAAACTCTACCTTTCCAGGTAGCCCAACCTACTGTAAGAAAGTACTTTCCTAGGTTGAGTTTCTAATGGAGAGAGGCTTAGGAAGTAGTGCTCAGGCTATAGAGACCAAGGATCATGATCTTTGACAAGGGCCCTTGGATTTAGTCTTGTGATGGTTGTGATGACCTTCAAGAAATTTCATTTTGATGGTGGAGGGTGAGTAGAAGTCAAACTCATGGGCTGAGAGTGAGAGGAATGTGGACAGTAGAGGATTGAGTATGAATTTCTCTTTGTATACATTTCTTAGTTGTAGGGAGTTTTGCTTGACAGGGGTAGAGAAGAAGTCAGTAAGGAAGAGGAGTCTCAAAATACCAGTGTCAGAGAGGGACTGAGTGAAGGAGGCCTTGTTAGAGAAGAGGTGAGTGAAGAGCAGAAAGGGAGTAGAGTATTGTAGAGCAAAGCCACAGAGTCTGCTTAAAATAAAAGCAAGAGAGATAGAAATTCATAAACTAGGGCAGCACAGAGCAACCAAGCAGTTAGAGTGCTGTAGTTTGCAGGAGCTGAGGAGAGATTCATAGTCAAAAAGCAGGAACTTCTTAGCAAAATTCTGATTGGTTGGACTTGCCTAGACTTGCATAGGCACAGTCACATTCTTACAAAGATTGCTTTTTCAGACCCTCCTAGGCTTGCCTGGATTTATTAAGCACACCTACATTGCCTGTTCAGCAAACTGTTGAAATTAGTACAAGGGTTATAGCTTTAAAACACAAGCAGGAGTGTAAAGAAAATGGAGTTCAATTTGTCCCTGCATCAGTCATTTTATGATGCCAAGCACCCCAGATTTTGAAGTGCCCTTACACACTTTAAAGCAGAAATGCTGCCTGAAAGTAGAGTCAATAGAGCTAAGGAGTCCAATGCAACCTTATGAGTATGCTGAATGCCTTAATTTAAAAATACTCTTACATATCCAACAAAATGGAGTTTGGCTGGCCTCTTGTTTTAGTCATCCAGAGAGTGTCAAATCCCTTAGGTTTTAAATACTTTTACACATTTTTCCTCTTGATCAAGCCCCTGCTGTGAAAGCACTGGTCACCCATAATTGAGTATACTTTGTTCTGTGAGAACTTATCTTGAAGTTTATAGATGACTACTTATCACGTGTAAGTTTTTAAGATCCAAAACACTGATAGTTATAATGGTGGCCAGGTACCATCTAGTTTATTTGCTTCACCTCACCATGTTAATAGGGCTCATTTTCAAGTTGAATAATTTAGACTTATAGAGCTGTGTGGAGTGGGGCTAGATTAGAATGAAAAATCTCACTGTCAAAGGAGGGAGGTCATTCTAAGGGACAAGGTCAATCTTATCTGACATTCTAGTTTCCTTGAAATACATAACATGTTGCACAGCATGGGGAGTAGGTGACTGATTACAAATATTGGAAACACATTTGATAAAGCATTTGATAAGATCTATAATGGTTATGCAGCTCTGGTGGCACAGTGGTTAAAGCATTTAGCTTCTAACCAAAAGATTGGCTGTTCAAATCCACCAGCCACTCCACAGGAGAAAGATGAGGCAATCTGCTTCTGTAAAGACTTACAGCTCTGGAAACTCTGTGGGGCAGTTCTACTCTATTGAGGGCAACGGGGTCTTTTGTTGTTGTTGTTGTTTAAATAATTATTGCAATAATTATTAAAATTATAATTCCAGTCTGCATAATTTGTATAGCCAAGACCTGATACCTTCAGGTAGCCCGCTAAAGATATTGAGAAAGTCAAAAGAGGACGATTCAGGTTCCAATTCCATATGTAGCCAAGTAGCCTATTGCCATATATTTT